AGAGGAATTCACTTCAAGTAAGGATTTGAGTGCCAAGAAGTGGAATGATAGGGTGTTCTGAACAGCACAGCCCCACCAGAGCATCACAGTCTTACCAAGTTTCATTAAATAAAATACCAACTGATGTCCAAAAATAATAAGCATGCCCGTATTTTTTCAACACCAGGCATGTTAGGCAACGTCCTAGGATATATAGAACTTCCAGAAGTAAGACGAGAATTATGATTAAGAATTAAAACACTGCAAGGTTCCAGTATCTCCCTAGAAAGGTAAATGTCAAATGGTTCCAGCCAAAGGCATAGCCAGGAATACTAACCAGTTAAAATATTACTTAAGAAGAAAAGGTGCAAGAAATAGAAATATATTGGAGCCAGGAAGGACTGAGGGTCCAGATCTCCTGCCTGATAATATCCTAACCGACAGTTAATTGGCTGAAACCTAATGGTAATGAAGTGATTGTACCTTTAGGTAAGACATTTATCTCCAACAGGGAAATACGAAACCTAAAAAAGGAGACTGACTCACTGATCCAATAGGAAATTCAGAGAAGTAAAGTGAGTCAAGCCTACAGGATTGAAAGAGTGACATGGATACGTTTTTCCTGGTCTCACCAAAAAAAAAAAAAAAAAAAAAAAAAAAAAAATAGGCTATTAAAAATGTATAAAATGTATTAAGAAAATGTATAAAAAATGTATTAAAAATGAGAACACAAGAAAATATCTGATCTAGAAGCAGTGCCCATTACATAACATTTTGGTGCAGACACAGAACGGTAGGTTAAACAATATTACAGTGTAATGATCAATTTTCTAAATCACTCAGTGAATTTCACAGAAGCAGCACGGTTTCATGCACCACTGAGCCTGAGCAGTTTTACATTGCAAAAATTAGCATAACATGTGCAAAAAAGACATCTTCATGATTAGAAGTTGACACATATTCATGGATAAGAACAGATAATATAATGCAGGTCCACAGGCATAGCAAATAAAGTCAAGGTTCTCAATCCTAATTCACAAGTTAGAGAAATGTGGGATAAATGGGGCTGGGGGAGAGTACACTGTTCTCCTAGTGTAATTATGATCCATGGTTACGCAACCTCCATCTACACAAAAATAAATGTCTAGTCTTAATGCAAATGATGTTCATTTCGTCAAGATGCTAAGTTAGTACTATACTGATTACTACTGATTTCACATGAAATACCATGCATCCTGGCACATCACAGCTCAGTACTGCTACAAGAAGGGCATGAGAAAAAGCCATGCAGTTTGCAGATGCTTTCACCCAGAAAGGCAGTACAAACATGCCTTTCTATGATTTGCTTTGAACACTGGAGTGCTGTCAAACATACAGGAAATTAATGATCTATTTAAAATGTTTCCATTGGGTGCTAGAACTACTTCTTTCCAGTCTGAAATGACCACTGCACTGGCAGCTTGTAGAACTTCTACAAAAGCTAGATAGTTTTATTGTTATGCACAAAATTGTTACATTAAATTCACTCCAAAGTGCTTGTTCTAGAATTAGCACTACAAATCCCACTAATTCACTTAGGAGCACAAGCTATTTCATCTATACCCTTGTATTAAGTCACTGTGCCAGTGCTTATCTGCACTGCTATGATTTGATTGCCTGTTTTTAACTAACGTGCAGTACAGAACCTCTGCCTTATCTGTACTAAAAACTACAATTCACCATCAGCATGAGTCAGGTATGTTTTGCTAGGAGGAGCTGCCCCAGAAGGCTCTCCCAGCAATGTCTTTGATCTTTTCCCGGTTGCAAACCCCTTCGGACCACTCTCTCCCTTCAAGCTTCAGAGCCTGAGGCAAACACTGGAGAATCTGAGAGACTCACAGCATATTTGAAGGGGAAGGCCACTTCTCACCTATAAACTACTGTTTCCGTAATTCGTGGCAAGCTCTTTTTTTCTAACATCTTCCTCATTAGTCCTTCTGCCCTTGATTTTCCTATTGCCAGTTCCCTTCTTGCACTACAGCCCCACCATCTGAGAGGAACAGATGATCAGCTGAACTTGACCAATATTCAACTTGTATTGTAATGTTACTGCAGAACTCAATGCCCTTCCCTTCACTTCTCCGAATGCAAAGTTACAACACCAAAAGTCACACTGGGAGTACAGAACAGAGCACGCAAAAGCAGTCTTCAAGACTGCCAGAAAAAACGTCATTTGCATAACCAGTCATGGGGAAAGTGTTTGTCAAAAATGTACATCCTTCTGATACCAATCTGAAAATGCTAACATATAAGCTGCTAAGCACTATCAGCAGCTGTGATTTGGCTGAAAGTACTTGAAAGGATAAAGAAATGTGAATCACTCACTTAACAGGTATCCCACATTGGTACAAAGGACTTCTGAAGCATAAGTTTGTTGCTTAAGGCATTTTTATTATTTTCAAGACAGAAACTGCTTAATGACCATGTGGAAAATGCAATGAACTTCTCTGGTTTTATGACAAACAAAACCCCCAAATTTTAAAAAGGTAGTTTAAGCAACACAGATGAAGTTCCCATGTGATTCACTATTTTTGTGACAAGAATAATTGATAAAACAGTTAGAAAAGGCATTACAGTTTTTAGTGTGGGACTGGAGAATATGTTACAGTTACATTCTGTTACTCCCTTGCAAAGAAGTCAAACACAGGCTTGTTTTCACTTCAAAAATGATGCCCCAAGAAACTGGCAAAGATGCTCATGTATCAATTACTGAACAAGAACATCTGTTCTTTTTCAAGAAAGGAAAACACAGGAAAGGAAAAGGCACTTTTACCTCAAAGCAAGCTGGATGATTTTCCATCTAAAAAGTTATCTTTCCTTGAATGTCATGTACACACACTGGCAGTTTAGGGTCATTAAAGCTTTCTGTAAAACTGGAATGATGTCCACCATGTCTGATATGAATTACTACTATCCTTTGTCATTGCTATTAACTAGTGTTTTAAAACATTGTCTGCCACAAATAGAAGAAATTAATATAAAAAGTACTACAACAATATATCTAACAAAAAAAACCCCCAACCAAAACACAGATAGCAAAAATGAAGAAGTCTTTGCAGAAACACACATTTAAGTCATCAATATCTGAACATCTGGCATTGAAGCCATGAACAGTAAGTTGCTCTTGCACTACGCATGCCAAATTCAACACTGGGGATCCAGACAACTCAAGAAAAGAAAGTAATTACAATTTAACACCACTTGTAAATACCACCTGTAAGTCACAGGAATGTAACAAAAATAATGTATGTCTTGATGGTGACACACAAGATAACTTTTTATAACAATAAAGACTTTGGGTTAAATGGGATGAAGTGCAATTATAACCAAGTTATAATAAAAAATGAGAGTGACCATAACTGTCTAATGCTTATTTGCTAAGCATTTATAACAAGCAGGACAGCATATACTGTAACTACCCTCAATTTTTTAATGCCCTTTGGTGACAACTCTGAAGCTGTGGATTAGCTGAGTTACACTGTCTGTAACCGAGCTTTCTCCTAGGAATATGCTTGATTTAACTAAACTGCAGGAACACAGTAAGTTGGGTTGTTTGGTTTGGTTTTGGTTTTTGTTTGGTTTGGGGTTGGTTTTTTTTGGGGGGGGGGGGCACATCTTAAAGCCAACAAACTCGTAATTACTGTGCCAGTGCAAAAATGTATAGAGGACTGATTTAACAACTGAGCTGGAGTCAATCCTACTGCAGTCTTAAAAATACCACATTTAGTTTACAAATAGTGAAACGCCAGCATAAGGAAACAAGGTCATGCCCTATAGCCCAGTGACTGAAAATAAGGGACTGGACACGTCTAACACCTACTGCTTTTAATACTAAACATTTAGTGGCTTTCCACAGAAATGAATAGCCCAACCCCTAATTAGGACTCTCAAACCCAAGCTGTTCTACCAGGATTAACTTCAGCTTTTTACCAAATCAGCTTCAATGAACTTCATTTCCCACTCCTCAACCCCACAAAGAACCGGAAACAAAGTATCCAAAGCCTCAAAAACATATTGGAAAAAAAAAATCCAGCCCTGCTTCACACCAGTGATGAATATTTTCAAAGTCCCTTCACTAGTTTGTGTCAAGTAATTTTTTCCAGATACTTGATTATTTATTGTAAGGCTCAAACACAAAGTTAATGAGGCAATAAGATTAGATACTGCAACATGTTGAATCTCAATTTACACAGAGGTAAAATAACTTGCATTTTTCTTTCCAATAGCTCTGAAAAGTTACAGTATTTTCCTAACAGTTTAGGGAAGCAAGAATTAAGATGAGTCTTACTTAAAAGCCTTGAGACTCCCAGGTTAACATTTTCAACACAAAGCAAAGGAAAAATATATAGCAGACAAAAAGTCAATGGAATGGTAATCTTGCTTTATAAATACACACATAAGTACATACATAAAAGTTTTGAGCAATTATAGCATAAGGATACCAAAGAGTAAAAAAAGTATTTGATTTATATGCCTTATTCTCTTGGGGGCAGACCAAGAGGACTTTCAGAAGCTGCCTTTACTGAAAAAGAATCTCTGTATTACATGTCTAGTTTTGTATTATAAATCTTTCCAAATGCTGCTTGTTTAGAATATGATCAGCCAGGATATGGCCTCTGGATAATTCAGGCATGTAAAACACCTTCCGACCTCTGTAGTGTCTGTTTGGCCTATTCCACCAATGAAAGAAACCAAACTTTATTTTACTTACTTCCACTCTTCAACATGTGCATTCTTAAACTGAGTAATTTTTTGAGTGCAATAACCTAGAATCTTACACAACTTTACTTTTTCCTCACTTAAGAAGGATCATAGAGACATCTGTTCATTTTTGAAGCTACCAGTATATGAAATATTTCAAACAGTAGCAGCAAGACAAGAAAAAGCAAACCATCGAGTTCCCATAGGCTACAATTTCAAAGTTTCTTCCAATTTTTATCACCTCATTGATAGGCAGAGAGGCCAACAAGCATTCATCATACCTGCTCCAACTTCCTTTTCTTCTTCTTCAATGTTGTTTTTGATACTGTCATACTCCTCATCGATTGCCTGGTTGCCACGCATTTGAGACAGAATTCTCCGTGCTCTCTGAGTTTGGCCTTTCTGAATGAGCCAGCGGGGACTTTCAGGAAGAAATAAGAATCCAAGAAACTGTATTACTGCTGGAACAGCTGACAGGCCCAGCATGTACCTGGAAATAAATAAAAATTTTAAAAATATAAATAAATAAATATTTAATATTTACCTACAAAAAGGTGCTATGAGCAGTTACAGCTACTCAAGCTGTAATTTACTAATCAAACCCTCCCCGCCTTATATTCTTTATCACTGGAAATTAAGTTGGCAAGAATCATATTCTGCAATTATTTTAGAAAACAGGACCCTTGCTTTCAATTCCAGGAAATCTCAAGGACATGTTGACTATCCTGCCACCACTGACCCTACAGCCATTGGTCCCATGGATGCTAAATCAGACTAAAAACCCTGAAACATTCTGGTATTTTGGAAACTGATAATCCCTTCAATAAAGATGAAAGAATGAACAGAAAGAGAAGACAAAGGCACAGAGAACAAACTGATACTGTGGATGGCAAAAATGAGACTGAAATCCTGCTGATTGTTTTACATACATTAAAAAAAACAAACACACACAAAACCAGTCAATGAAAAATGCTTAATTTGGTCAGTAATATTCATACACAGATAGACGTGACCAAGGAATATGCCTCTTGTGTAAGGAGATGCCTGCTTTACTTTTCAAAATTCCTGACTACAAATAAATATTCAAATATTCAAAATTCCTGACTACAAATAAATATAAATATTTTTAAAAGTTCATTTCAGCAGCACAGCAATTTACACCAGATCTTTGAAGAGTCTGCTTTTAAATTTTCATCCAGCTGGAATGTTAGGTTTTAAATTAAAACTGCATTTTAGATGCCTGGTGGGGACTACCATATACAGAAGTAAGACTAGTTCTCTGCTCAACAGAGAATTACCACTGGCCAGAGAGTTATGCTTCCAGGGATGAGCACTGTCACCTGTGACAACACCAAAGTGGGGGAAAGGACTGTGGAAGACAAGCACTCTATCAACTGTCATGTATGGTTCTGGTCTATACACTTATCTTTACATTCCTTCAGCAAAACACTAAAAAGAATAACAACAATTGCAGAACAATGTGTAATTTTGCTCTGCTGTTTAAATCTGATCTTTTCCCAACTGCGCTTCAGTGATATTTTTTTCCACTTCCATTAAATACTTTAAACAGGGCAGGTGTCGCCTGTACTTACTGCACCTATCACAGGTTTCACATCAGTGGCTATAATGATTAAAACAGCTCCAGAAACTAACCCTGACTGAATACTGAGGTAGTCTGTACTCATAAACAGGTTCACACCTTGACATCAATCAGGAGATTAAGGAGATTTCCTAATCTCTCCTCTAGCTTCTCTCTTCATACTCCAGGACACATGCTTTCACACAGATGATTCATCAGTCTCTCACCTGGATGTTTTTATAAAGCATGCTATGAAATGAGAATGTTAATAGAGCAGGAAAGAAAACACAACCATCAACAGAAACATTGGTTCAAGGCAACGAACCAAATCCATTTTGGATTAAAATGGAAGATGACTTTCTTAGAGGCATGTAGATATAACAAAGAAAAACATGAGCAATACAACACAGCAGAAAACTTGAGAATGGGAAAAGAACACCCAAGAGGTAACGCAAAGAGGATGACCGTCCCAGGACGATAAGCATGCAGGCCACTCTGCCCATCTTTAAACTAAGCCCTCAAGTTCTTCCTAAAACCTAAATAGCAAAAATTTCCAAAGGTCATACAAGTAAATCTTGCTCTAGAAAGAAATCTGTGAGCAAGTCTCTTATTTTCTAACACTTTTAAGAATGGTATCTCATCTTAACATCATTAGTTAAAAAAAAGCAGAAGAAAATAAATTCAAAACACAAAGCTTGTGAAAGGATTATTAGTTGAGTAGTCTTCATATCTAATATATCTAACAAGTGTCACTAATTCACTAATATTCTCATTCCTCATTCACTAATGTTCTCATTCATTACTGTCCTCATTTCTTCCTGTGCTCTTCCCTCTCCACAAACATTTTGGCAGCTGTATACAGAATCACCTTTACACATACACCATTGAAGCTCAACAAATTGTATATTCAATATCTGCATTAGAGTGGTATTTAGGAAGCATAAAAACATAAGCGATTAAAACCACAATCACTGTATTCTGTCAAACTATGAGCAAAAGGATCTTTTAATGCATCTAAATAAACAGTTTTAGTCCTTTACACTCATACTACTTAATTTCTGCTCCTCCAAAGCCCCTCAGTCCCTTAAATGCAGCAGAGCCTTCGGAACAAAGCAGTTGGGTACCTGCAATCATCTGAGGAGGCAAAATCAATGAAGGCTCCTGAAAGTTCGATCCAGCCCGTTAAAGCTATCAGTTGGACTCTATTGTATTATCACAGGCAAGAGAAAAAAAGAAATGTACAGAAAGTGCTCACTCACTAAAGTTAGTTTCTAATCAACATGTTTCTGGTCAAAGTTGAGTACAAGGAGCGGGACAGAAGGAAAACGTTTAGTTAAGAGCATATGCTCATTGCAAGTTCAAGAGTTGTTGCAATTTTCACATCAAGCAATTTTGATAGAACCAATTTAGAGTAAAAGCATGCAATTTCAGACATTTTATGCAGTGAGCAAGCTTTCAGAAATCTAATATAGTTCTTTCCTATACAGAATACAAGACCTCCCATTCGGAGCCAGATGTCTAGCAGACCTGAAAAAATCCAGCATGAAATCTAATAAGTCTGCTGTAATATTTCTCCTTCTCAGACATACTGCTGCAATACTATTAAGATGGTATTAGCAGAGTTTATAAAGCTAATCTGACAGAAGAGTCAGGTTAAATATTTGTTTTCTTTGTTTTCTTTTTAATTTAATATCTAGCATTTCCAAGAACAAGCAGAGCCAAGAAAAAGTAAAGTTCCTTAATGTTTTTTGTAGCACTCCAATACTTAGCCATTCAGTCACTAAGAGCTACAATAATTTCTGTAATTTTTCTTCTTATACATGATGACTCAGGAATGAACATCTGTGATTTCTCCCCATGCGTTTGCTGGCCGCTCTTTCCAGGTGACAGACCATCTGTACTCTTCCCCGCTCAGTCTTAAATTGCAGTAAACTAGCCGAGGACAGACAAGTACACAATCCCCAATTAACGGCTCCAGCATCACAGCTGAGAATCCTCAGATACCTCATCACTAGCATAGCCTCAGTTTCTGCCCAATTCACTGTCAACAGTTTCCACTCAAGCCACCGGAACAGTACTTGGCATGTACATAAAACACAGCATTATTGCCTTAGCAAAAGTTATCCACCATGAGCCAGCAGGCTTCAAGACACAATTACTCCTCACTATTCAACACACCAAGCTGAATCTGGAAGACTGGGACCATCAACACAAGAAAGCTACAAACCAGGAATAGCAATGGATCACTAAAAGAGTCTTGCAACTGGAATGTATGATATTCTGGACATTAGAAAAAAAAAAAAATCACAGAAAGAGTGGTTAGACAGTGGAATAGGCTGCCCAGGGAGGTGGTGGAGTCACCATCCCTGGATGTGTTTAAGGGTTGTTTAGATGACATGTTGGGGGATATGGTGTAGAGGAGAACTTTGTAGAGTAGGGCTGATGGTTGGACTCGATAGTTGGACTCAATGGTCCCAAAGGTCTTTTCAAACCTGAATGATTCTATGATTCTATGACATAAAAGAAGAGGCCGAGAGAACTGGGTTTGTGCTGCCCAGAAAAGAGATGATTAAGAGGAGATCTAACAGAGTCTTTCACAACTGAAAAGGAGCTCAGAGAAGATGGAGACAGACTCTTCTCAGATGTACACTGTGAAAGGACGAGTCAATAGCGACAAGTTGCAATAAGAACAACTCAGATCAAATATGAGGGAAAGCAATTCTTCACAGTAATAGTGATCGAACATCTGAACAAGTTGCCTCAAGAAATGGAAATGTCCATCACTGGAGATTTTCAAAAGTCATCATCTCACACAGTTCTGATCAAACACTCAACCTCCCAATCCTACACAAACCACAGGTTCTAGGTTTTACTTTTAATTTTTTCAGTTCAGATAGGTTAAAAGGCCTTAATTACCAGAGTAGTTTGTTTATTGTTCCAAACAGAAGATAAGTTATACCAATGAAGAAGTTCTTAGAACAGTTCTGCAGCATTTCAGTGGGTGAGGGCCTCATTTCTATTTAAGGTATACTGGCATATCAAAATATCAGTGTTTTACAAAAAGATTAAATCTACATATTGTCTTCCACCGAATCTTCTACTTTAGCTAAATATATTTGTAAAGTAACATACCAAAAGATGGTTACTTATGTGTGTGTAACAAACTGGAATGATATTTTTCACTTAAATAATCATTTACATAAGAAATATACTTGTCAATCCTGTGTTACTGCTTGATTTGGGAACTGATACATCCTATACCAACATGCCAGTTCTTTGATCTTTTCCAAAGAAGACTAGAAGTCTGCTTTTGTGCTGAAAAAATTCAAGCTTAGTTTGCCTGAACAATTAAATAAAAACCACAGTTCCAATAAGATCAATACTTGTCAGATAGTGTTGGCTCATATTTTTCTTCCAATAGGTTAATATTTACTGAAACACATAGATTACAAACACATCCTTACCTCCTATGTGTCAGAAAAACCACAGATTTACATCCACAAAAGCTTCCCCCAGATGAATCCCTAACCACTGAAGTAAACTGAACTCAAAAAATCTGCCTAAACATAAAGTGAACAACGCCTCTAACCACAACAGTGACTCAGAGCTTAATTTCTAAATAAATATCTTTACTTGTCCATTCCTCCCACCCAGCCCCATGCATAGGAAGCCATTACATGAGCAAATTATTTAGGCTAAAAGTTAATTTTAAGTAATAAAGCAACTACTGAATAATAGGCATTGGGCATCAAACACTTCAGTTTGTATTTCACTTAGAAATGCATTACTGCATGCCATTAACTTTTCTCAAAATTGAGCATATTTCTTTAACTGCAGAAAGAGAACAGCAATCCTATAAAACCAGGTTCTTCTTTCAGTGAAGGCTGTTTCTCAGTTCTCCATAAGTGAACATATAGTCTGCCAGAGAATGCAGCTGCATTATAATGAAAAGATCATCAAAAGTTTCATTTAAAAATACAAAATGCTATTTTCATTTGAGCTCAAGTAACCAATGCATTTTCAGAAAGCACAAAGCAGAGCTACAACTTAAAAATTAAATTAGAATTAAAATCAGCATGAAGTGACCTTTTTCTTAATGTCAAAATGCGACCTCTTTTTAGAAAAGAGGCAAAGGAAATAATCACATGGACAAAAATTAAAAACCTCAAACCTTGAATCTTCAGACATACACAAATTAAACCCTAGATTCAATAAGAAAACATTGACTTTTTTGTTTTAATTCATATTTCTTTACATACTATAAAAAGATTAGCTACCAAGTTCTTTAATGCACCGAGTCCTAAATTAGTTGTTCCTATCCTAAAACCTCAAACATCAGTGCACCCAGAAATCCCTATTCAGATCCATTTGAAGCCAGAGAACATAATATTTGTTGCAAATTTTGGGGGGTGGGAGGAGGAACCTTTAAATTAGGATTTACAAATAGCAAAACAATTCCAGGCTGTAGCAACAGGAGTCACAGGCCCTACAACAAAACACCTTTCCCAAGAGTGTTTCAAGAGAAAAGCACACACAATTAAGCACAAGTTTCCAGAAATTGGGATGTACAGTGTAAATTATTCCTCCTACACATTTCTGTTATTTTTTCAAGTCAGAACTTTAAGTAAAATAGTGAGCCACTGAAATTTCTCATCTCTCTCATATGACACACCACTATGAAGACAGTAAAGACAGATGCAGTCCAGAAACACTTTGCAGTGTCTACAGGAAAAACATAATATCCAGAAAGTAAAGTGAAAGATATTCATATTATTCTATAACCTAAACTTTTAACTATAAAGTTATGCTACAATATTCTTCAATTCTGATTGGATTACTACTGCTCAGATTAAGAGCATTCAAAATACACTTCTATTTTGTGCATATAGCATCATGCTCACTGGAAATTTGCCTTTTGAAAAAATCAGCATGTAATTATTCTAAATGCAAAAGGCAAGCTACTATCATAAACATCATGACAATCATTCAAGCTTGCTGATGCATATTTACGGCTCATCCATTTTAAAGTTTAGTAAAGTCAAAAAAACCTAAGCATACTGTGAATACTAAACCTAAGTGAAAGCAGTATGGATATCATTTAGCAAGAGTTAATTATTGAAGTTCCATTTCAGTATATAGCTTTACTACTTTATATGTAAACTCCATTTTACCAAGAAGAATTATAATAGCCGTCAACCAAATCATGACCATGCCAGTTTGGCTTTTAACAAGGAAGACTCACAAACCTCCATCCATCCTTTGCGAGGTAGCTGAAGATTCCATCAACAACGCTTGCAAAAAACTGCCCTCCAGTGATGAACAGAGTGTTAATGGTTACTAATCTGCCTCTTAGGTGCGGTGGAGCAACTTCTGCGATGTACACTGGCACAGTCATAGATGCTACACCTACAAGAATAAATTCAATTACAGTTATAAAATAGAAAGAGATAGTACATCCCTTTTTCATCATAAAATATTATATCATTTAAATGGAACAAGCTGGAAGAATCTGGTTTCCAGGTTCTGAAAGATGAAAAAGAAAATATACCTAATGAACTCTAAAAGCATATCGAGCAAATGGGCACACAGACTGGATGCTAGCAGCTGTACTCCAAGTTCAAGGTTTGATGTAATGATACAAGGAATAACTCACTTCAATTCACACTGCATGTAAACATATTTATAGTTTTGAAACAAAAAGATGCTATGTTCCAAAAGAAGAAGATGCTACAATCCAAGTAAGCACAGATAAGTAAGATCACTAACTGAAGATGCCAAGTGTTCACAGCTCTGAGTTTAAACAGAACTTTAGCATGGTTTCCACCTCCAAGAAAAAACAAGGCCAAGCGTTATTATTCTCATTATTATTATTATTATACTTCATTACTGCTATATAGAATGAATTGTTTCTTGACTTCCTTGATGGTTTCTTGACTTGGTTTAAAAGTATTCCATATGCAGTGGTAAAAACTCTACCGCCATAAGGAAGCAAAGACTGAAGCCAAAGCACCCACCACAGCTGCCTTTTACGCTGTCTTAACACTGGTAGTATTTCCTATGAATTATGCAATGGCTCTAAATGAGACATTTGTGCAAAAGACAGAAATGCCCTGTGGAACAGGGTGGAACAGGTCCAAACCCACCAAGAAAGTCACACTCTCATTTAAAGGAAATTTATAGCCCTGTTTCCTGAAGAGAACCAATAGTGACAACCAACAGTAACTCCTTTTGTAGATAAAACTGGAAGTACGTTGGCGGCACACAGACAGAAATACATTTTGACTGAGCCAGCTGAGATACAACTTGAGCAAGCACAGTGAGCATTGCCGAGCAGCAGCAGAGAAGTCACACCTTCCAGCTGGGGCAGCTCCACCAGGTCCACACTGACAGCCCCACACCAGCATGGGCCAGTGCTGCATCCGAAGCAAGAAACGGCATCACCTGAAGGCGTGCACATGGCTCCTGGGCTCATGTAACAGCAAAAAGGCTTCGTCATAAAATGTCGGAGGCTTTGCCTGGTGCCCCGCTGCTTGGCTGACTCACCAAACTAAGAGCACAAAATCATCTTTAGCAACAAGGTTAGCCTGACAGAATTGCTGGGAGCCTCCAAAAAGCTTGAGTGAGGAATATAGATTGTTTAATAAAAAAATGGCATAGGAAGATCTTTTGTTACAATAGGTAAACACTCGCAGCAGCCTCTCAGCATGATAACCCACATGGAATAAAAAAAAAAAAACACTTAAAAGTGTCAGGGGGAAAAAAAAAAATCATTAAAAATTTATTCAACCATTTTTCAAAGCCAACCAGAATGCACCACAGAAAAAAAGCATTCAAATAGCTCTTTGTATGTTTGATAGAGAGGCAAATTTTCAAACACAGTCCACCGTTGGGGATATTTCTCTCACATCTTTCACATCAGCATTTGAACTAATTACAACTGAAACAATGGAGATAGCACGCATATAAAGGAAAAGCCTGTATGGGAAAGCACAGGAGTACATTCACTTTCTGCAAACAAAAGCCACTGAGGACCACAAGGCAGTGGTTCATGCTGGGGTGGCAGGGAAGGGCCCTACAGCTGCAGTGGCCCTGGCCTGGAGAGGCCTTCCCACTCCCCGACCTCTCCTCTCCCTCAGACATGCCACTTCACACCCTCATGCGTTTCCTCACTGCGGCGTGGCCATCTTCCCATCACCAGGACAGGCCTGGCAGGACACCCAGTTCTGCGGGGCCAGGCCCAAAGCCCAGTGTCACAGTCTCTGCCAGCAACAGGCAGCAGAAACCTAGGAAAGGCTCAGCAGCAAAACCAGCATCGAGTAATTCCCCTGCTACACCCTAAACAAGCTTCCAATAATTTCCAGGTTTGGAAATTCATGACTCAATGGACCCAACACTTGGTATCTCTGGAGGGTTTTTTTGAGGCCATTCATTCTTTGCTCTCTGCTACTCTATTCAGGCCAATCATCACTAAGAGCCAACACAAAAAAAGGAGGAAAAAAAAAAAGAAAATAAAAAAGTCTGCTTGGTAGTGGCTATTTTATCATTTGGCACCTTCACTGCTGTTTGCAAGAGTAACGTGGAAATGAGAAAAGATGATTGAATGCAGAGCAGCAGGAATGAAATGAGAGATCAAGCCCTTCAACACGGAGATGACAGGTATAGAAACAGAATGGGGTCTTGCCATAAATACAGTGAAGAAAAATGCAGTTGTGTTTCTACCTTTCTGGGGACAGAAAGAGAAAACTGACTTTACATCTTTCTTTTGGAAGCTACTGAAAGTCAGTCCCCATTAACAGCTTTAGAAAAGTAACACAGTCCCAAGCAATGTTACTGAAATGTAAAAGTTATTGAAATAGATAATCATCTAGTGAAGCTAATTTGAGAAGATGGCAATATCTGTATGTGGATTTCACTGCAAAGCAGTTAGAAAGATACGCACAAACAAAACCAATATATGCTTTGTAAGAAGACTACTTTCCCTCCACCCCCTTCACCTCTTAATGAAGACTGGTTTTACACAGGATCTGCATGTTTTAAACAAGAGAAATCTTGTTCAAAACATGCCAGCCAAGTCTGCTTCTCAGGCATCCAAAACACAGAGCCGCACCACTGATATGACCAACAGCTACCACTAACATTCAGCACATACCATCAGTCCTGGGACTCTGCTAGAACCACCATTAGCCCCAGCTAAGGCAAGACAACATTTACAGGTGAAACTAAAGCCTGATGCTGTAATGTTAAGAGTACTGTGAAGGTTAAAGTACATTTGTAAAGTATCTTGAACTCATCATACTTGACGTAAAAAATATCTAGCATACTAATACTTGAGTATTAGTTCAAAAATCACACAGGATTGTTTAGATTGACAGGGACATTGGGAGATCTTCTAGTCCGACCCCTGTTCAAGCAGAGTCAGCTGGAACAGGTTTCCCAGGACCATGCTCAATTAGATCGTGACCATCTTCACAGATGGATCTCCAACCAAAATGATTCTGTGATTCTGCCACTTCCACATCTGCTTTCCCACCCTGAGACTTTCCACAATGTCACTGTCAAAACCAGCCTTTTTGACTTTGTACCTTACTCCCTCTGCTGGGTTTCCCAAAACTTCAAAACATCCAAACGAAAACCTCAGTTCAGAAGATAAAATTATGTATTTCCAGTTATCATTTAGATATCAAAACATATACTTTGCTAGTTTAAGCTTGAAATAGTGCAGCAGGAGGTTTCAGGGAATGGGAGGAGGCAATCAGGAAAGCCTCCCCAGTTTGTTTGGCTGCCACCCAAAAAAAAAAAAAAAAAAAAAAAAAAAAAAAAAAAAAAAAATCAGCAGGAGTAAAAAAAGATTTTCTGAAACAGATCAAATTAAGGAAAAAAAAAAAAAATCACACCACTTTAGGGAAATAATGTTTTTGATTCTGTAATGTTATTTACATTACAGATTTGCTTTCAATTGCCTTTGAATCAATGTTCTGCAGACTTCCCTCCTCTAATTTCAATTTAAGACACACTAGAACATAGGAGATTAAGTTCTTGTGAAAAGGCACAGTCAGAAACAAGGCATTACATGTTAATCAACTACGAAAAATCTCTGAAATACATAACCACTATCCGTTATATAGTTGTTTTAATAGCTAGATATCAAATAAATTTGAAAACAAAGAACCGCTTTTCTAGCAAAAAAATATGGCTGCAATGGAAACTTTCCTTAATCTTTCATATGAGAATGCTTTCATTTACACTTAGATGACATTTTCTAATACACACTCACTGTTAAACTGCTCACTCCAAATAAAAGATTCTTGCTGTAGGCAAGTATATTACTACCTAAGAAAGATGATAAGTGACAAGATGTGAGGAGAAGAAAATGAAAACAATTAACTTGAAATCTGTCAGAGAAAATTTAAGCTCTACATTGTGCACCACAGATATGAAATTTGAAATGAGAGATGGCAAACCCAATCTTTATCCACTTGAGTAACCAAGGCATTAACCTTCTGCCCTCATTAAAGAACGTAGTTCATAAAAAAGGTAGTAGAAGGTTTCTTAAATTTAGACCACAAGATGCACCTAATTATTATAAGGGAAGCACTGGATGACACAATGGACTGAAACCATCATATTAAATGCTTTTTCACTTCTAAGATCACTTAGGAGACTGTTAGAGCTGCTACTGTAATCTGCAGATTTACCATTGGAAAGCAGAGACAAGACAATGCACAGCTCAATTTTAAGACAATCAATAGAAAGCAGGTGTGAAAAGGCATCACACATTACCATCCAGAAAAGTATGAACATGTACGCATTATAAAGAATTCATTAAGATGTTCAGGAATGAAGTCAACAAAAACCTACTGACATGAAGGAGAACTCCTATGATCATTAGGCGAATTAAAAATATATTTCTAAAAGTGAGGTTACAGTAGCAAAACAAAAGGACTAAGGGAAGAACCCAAGTTCTTGTTTATAAAAAGCATTTGGGTATAAATACTAGGAATAATTTTAAGGACTCCTTGCAAGATCAAATGGATATAAATGTATCCTGTTAAGGACTTCCACTACAGCTCCAGCTGTGTGTCTAGCATATATGAGGGAAGGTGCATCATAAAACCAAAAGAGCAACAAAAGCTGGAGACAGGATATTGAATGAGATGCACTTTTACTTCTAGCATAATAAAAAAGCTCTAAGGTAGCAGGGATGTGTCAGTCATTTCACTGATGTCAAGCAATAACCAATTGTCAGGAGCAGCAAAAACACTGAGAAGGATTCCAGACAATTTTTTGTTGTTGCTGTTTAGATTACTACCCAAAAGATTTGTAAGAACAAGAGATAGGTGACAAGAACTAGGTAACTTTTTTAAAAAAAAAAAACCCTCACACAACTCAATCAGCCTTTCATGCTT